ATGTTAATCTGTAATGGGGGGGAAGCAAATGAATTTTTTCAAATAAACATATCCCAGTTGTCTGAAAAGGAGAAGAGTAGAAGAGTCCTTCATTTTGATGATTTAAATAAATTAAAATGGAACCCATTTTCACTTCCAGGAATGTCATTTACTTTTTTTTAATCTGGTCCATTTCTGGGAGAATAAGGAACTATAGTGTCTTATGCTTTGCATAGCCTTGTTGTTGTTCAGTGATTTTTTCAGTCCTGTCTAACTCTCCATGACCCCATTTGAGGTTTTCTTGACAGAGATACTGGAGTGGTTTGTCATTTCCTTCTCCAGTTCATTTTACAGATGAGGAAACTGAGGCAAACAGGGTTCAGTGACTTGCCCAGAGTCACCCTCTAGGCCCAAGACCCTATCCCCGTGCCACCTAGCTGACCTTACTGATACAGTAAACCTCAGTAAATGGAACTTTAGACAACTAAACTGAAGTAAAAACCATCTGTACAATAATTCATTTCAGTATAATATTATGTTGGTAATGTTATAACATCTATCTATATCTGTCTCTAGTTATTTTCCTCTACATAAATGCCTTACCAACATGGCAGGCTGGACATTTTATCTCTGTGACTGAAGAAGAAAATTAAAATCTAATTATGTCCCTCATATATCTAATTGTGAATACCTTGCAGCCTTCCAGTAGGTTTATGGTTGTCCCCATTAAGTGAGCAATAAACATAACCTGCTAATTGACTCCTTGAATTTTTGCCTTAACTCCATTTTATTTAGCTCAAGATACAGGTGCTTTGGGTACTGGAAAGATCTCATTTTTAAAAAATCTTTCTCTGTCAGCAGCTTGTACTATCTCAATGCTTATCGAGTATTACCATTGATTAAAAAAAAAAACAAATCTCTGGTGCTATTTGCTGCGATGTCACCAACACCGAGTCTCCAGCTGTAGCCCAAGGTAGAGCCCTGTAGGCTTGAAGGCAACAGGGCACTAGAGGTTTTCTTCTACTTCAGAGCCCATTAGATTTAGGTCTTGTGTTCAGTTTGAGGACAGAACTGTTCTTATCACTCTAGCTATTGACCTGTAGTCATGAGTTCATTAGGGAAGCTAGGTGGTGCAGTGGAGCCTAGAGTCAGGAAGACCTGAGTTCAAATCTGGCCTCAGGCTCTTACAAGCTGTATGACCCTGGGCAAGTCACTTAACCCTGTTTCCCTCAGTTTCCTCAATTGTAATATGAGCTGGAAAAGGAAATGGCAAACCTCTCCAGTATCTTTGCTAAGAAAACCCCAAATGGGGTCACAAAGAGTCAGACACAACAGAAACGACTGAACAACACCGCATGAGTTCATTGGATCATAGACTTAAAGCTACAAAGGACCTCATCAGTCATATAGCCCAACTCCCTCAATTTTTACAGGGAAGGAAACTGAGGTCAAAGAGATTTAAGTGCCTGACTCAAGATCGTGTAATAATCAGGGACAGGGCCATGATTTGAACCCAGGTCCTCTGACTCTAAATCTAGTGCGCTTTCTGTTGCAAGATACTTCCTTTTCGAACCTGTCTCTCACATAAAGGCAAAGAAGTCGTACAACAGGGAGTTAGGGCCCAGTGCTTTATTTCTTAGAAATGCTGGACTCAGCTTGTATCCATGCTTTGCCAACATGCTCCGGTAGGCCTACATACCTTTAGGGAAGCGAGCGGCACATGCACAGCTGTTATGTTGCCCTAGAGGGAAGGGCTGTGAATTAGACAGTCTTGAAACAACCTACAAAAGGCTCCCAGAGAGGGTTACTAAAAGCACAAATTTCCAACCTCTGAAGAATAACGGTGGACTTCAGCTTGATTGTCAAGGAGCTGTCCAGTCAAACTGCTCACATGGAAATCAGGTCATAGTTGATATGTAGGCTAGCAAATAAGCAGTCATTCTCACATCATCCCAATGTGACCATGTCTACACAGAACAGTGTGAGCTGAAATTTGGCAACAAATCACATACATGTCTAATCTGACCAGTGCACATGGCCAGTGTGGGGAATTCTAGCCACATTGAGGCTATTAAATTTCCAAACTGTTCAGGGGGAAAATATCATTTCAGCTTTTTCAGGCATAGAAACTAAAATACATGATCAGTTCCAGGTTACACAAGTTGTCTGTTGAATAGGAATTGAACCAAACCTTTTATTTAGTCTCTGAGAGCAGTGTTCTAGCTACTAGACTATGTTTTTCCTTTAAAAATGAGTCATCAGACTCTTTGGTGCCTGAATTATTCTAGGGGAAAAAAATACCAGTGCAAATTGAAGGTCTTTAGAAGTGAGTTAAACCAATTTGGATTGTTGAGATTTACCACAATCTGTTGGTATCATTAGTGTTTGTAGCTCTTACTAATGAAAGCTCACTTTGGCTATAATGAACACAACCAAACAAGTAATTGAGCTGCCCCAAAGTGACTTTTTATCCTATACATGCCTGGTCTGGGAGTAATGTTGGCATCATCAAGGCCATCATAGGGACTGGACTTATGATTTCCTTAGAGTATGAAACTCCAGGAGGAGGAAACTCTCTCTACTTGTGCAGACCTTTGCCACAAATTATAGGTTTAACATTGCCTAGAACACTGAGAGGTTACGTGCTCACCCACCATCAAACAACCAGCGGGTTTCAGAGGCAGGACTCTTGTAAGCTCTGGTCCTCTTGTCCTAAGCCAACTGGATACCTTCTGTGCTATGTAACCTCTCTTGATTGTTTTTGTAATACACTCAATGGAACAGTTCCGAGGAATGATTCTCTCTTTTCCAGCCTGTAAAGTTTTATCTATATACAAAAATGTATTTGACTGAATTCATTTGGTGGGAGGAAGCAAAGGAGAGGAAACTGAATTCACTCAAACCACTTGTTCTGGTCCATATGACAAGTATTCATTAGGTGCCTACTATGTTTAAAGCAATGTGTCGACTGCAGTGTGATTTCATAGACTGTTAGACCTGGAAAGTCAGGTTGAACATTTATGGCTGTAAATGTTAAGGAAGTTGAGACTGGATAAAGCTAACTGCCCAAGGTATCACTTTTTTTTTTAGTAGTAGAGCCTGGATATTCTGAATGCTGATCCCACCTTTCCACTGTACCATATACCTTTCACAGATGTATTCTGTATTTTCCAAATGGCCTAAAGAAAGAAATGAGACCCCTTGGATTCCCAAGGAAGTTCACTTTGATTTATTTGTAAATTAGTTATATTGTACTTGGAAATTAATTCCAAACACTTTAATAAATAAAAATAACTAGATGGCTAAATTACTTAAACCTCATCTTTTGACCCTATTATGATGTATAAAATAAAAATTTTAAGAATCAGTAAGTCTTTGTCTCTGATGTGTACTTGTTATATTATTATGAATAAAACTTACAGATGAGTTTCTGATTTCTATTTGTGAAAGAAAGGGTGTTTTCTTGCCAAGAGTGACTCACACAGATAAAACCACAGGTCCGCACCAAGCTCTCAACCAAAATGGTTGTAGAATGAAAGCTCCTTGAGGGTAAGGACTGTTTCATATTTGTCTTTGTATCTTGGTACAAAGCAGTCCTGGTATGTGATAGGCGCTTACTAAATGCTTATTAAATGAAGTCATTTCTGCTTTCAGTACTCAGGTAACTTCTCACAACTATGATTTACAGTTGTCTTTCTGCATTAAAACCCCTCCAGGATTAAATAACATAGCAGTACAAAAAAACATAATATTGATGCAGTGTATTCAAATCATGGCCAAAAGAAATTAAAAATTAAGTGACAAATCTAATAGTGGAAAAAAGAAAAGTTTGCTTTTCCGTGACAAAAATTGCTACTTAACTGTAACATATCTTAATTACTCTTCTTCCATAGGTAAGATAAGGGGAACTCCCAAATGATCTTTATAGTCCACCGTTTTGCTGTGTATTGTCAGGATAATTTTAATACCCTTATCCAATTTAATCAGCAGGTGATAAATATGGATAGATGCTGCATGATACAGTGAGAAAAAGACAGGTTCTAAACCCAGACGCCAAGGATTCAAATACTGACTCTGAAGGTAACGGTGGGACCTTGGACAAGCAATTTTTGCCCCTGAGCCTCAGTTTCTTAATCTGTAAGAAGAAAGGTTTGGACTAGATGAACTTAGAACTTTCCAGTTCTAAATCTATAATCCTAGGTTAAATTGATTTAGTAGTATATTCCTTGAATCTTGGAAAACTAAATGATAATTATCAAAACAAGATCAGGAAGAACTTTAGACTTCTTGTTCAGTTGTTTTATAGTTTTGTCCAAGTCTTTGTGACCTCATTTGGGGTTTTCTTGGCAAAGATGCTGGAGATGTTTGCCGTTTTCTTCTCCAACTCATTTTCTAGATGAGGAACTGAGGCAAACAGGGTTAAATGACTTGCTCAGGGTCACACACCTAGTGTCTGAGGCCAGATTTGAACCCAGGAAGATGCATCTTCCTGACTCAGGACCCTATCCATTGCACCACCTAGCTGCCCTGTGTGTACTACTACAGGGGAATATTTGAGAAGTAAATTCCAGTTATGTATCACTTTTTGTCACAGAAAGGCAAACTTTTCCTTTTTCCTCTGTTAGATTTGTCACTTAATTTTTAATTTCTGAGGCCATAATTTGAATTCATTGCATCAATATTTTTTTTGTACTGCCTTGTGATTTAATCATTACAAATGGTTGTTTTTCACTAAAGTTCACTAATTCAAAGGCAAAATTAAGTAACTTATGTTAACCCTCTTTTGTTTATAAACATTTATTAAAAAGGTTAAGATTAATGCTACTGTCAATACATGTGCAATAATACTCAGCAAATCATCTTGTCCTTAATATCTTGAATTTAGAAATGTAACAATCCAAACAGATCCCAGCTTTGACCAATCCTGACACTGTAGGGGGAAAAGAATCAAATATCTTTTTTTTAAGGGAGGAAAAAGGAGAAGGTAGATGGGTGAGGTTGGAGAGATGGGGGCAAGGTAATTGTTTCTAATCGATTTTATTGAAGTGCTTGCTCATGCTTTTGGCCCTGAAAACACTTAGCAAGATCAGTTTTTAGAGAACTGAGGAAAAACCCCTTGCTACTCTTATGCAGGAAAGGAGGAAAGAACTTGTCGTTTTCAAGTAATTTTTGACAGAACCAGTGGTGGAGTAAACAGGTTATGCAATTGAGGGACTCAAATCAAAAGTTGGAATAAAGTGCACAGTTATTGTCAAAAATATATTAATTTGATCCTAAGAAAATTAGGAATATTACTAATTACTAGATTGCTGATGTTTTAATACGTTTTGGTTTTCATGGAACATACAATCACAATCGGACATAGAGGGTTGTTTGCATTTTTTTTTTTTTAAATTGCTTGGAGCTATCTACAGTAATTCTGTGAACTCAATTCAAGGAAAACTGCCCTGCAGCTCTTTGGATTTGGACTGGTTCCCTCGGTTAGATCCACAGAGAAAAAGGGAAATGGAGATTCCATGATTGGAGTGGGCGGCTCCCTCTTTCTTTTGGTCTCTCTTCGCGTCTCTGTTGACCTCTTTTTCTAAAGGCCTGTATTTTCCAATTCTCCATCCTCCATCCCTATGGCATGAGACCGGGAGATCATGATGAGTTTCTCTTTTTTTGTAAACTGCCTCTGAACTGGCCGCGGTTGCTCGACCGCCTGCTGGCCTTTGCCGGTGCCCCCCTGGGGGCTCTCCTCCCTGGTCGGGTCCTCTGCACAGTCCTGGGGGTTACTGGCTGGTGTGTCAATGATGGACTCCAAGGAGGTGCCCGCCTCCTCCAGGGGGGTGTAACCCTTATTGCTGCTGGATTGATCCGACTGGGAGCTCTGAGAGGCTCTCCTGGTCGCCTGCGCCAAGACGGGAGGAGAGGCCCCCAGGGGAAGCGGGGGTGCGGTAGAGGCTTCCGCCAAAACGGCCACGTCCACGTCCGTCACGCTGGGGGTGGGTGAGGGCTCTGGGGATGCGGCTCTCCTGCAGTCCAGGAGACCGCTTGTGCTCTGGCGCCTCAAGGCCAAGTATTTGCCGGTCCTGGGCAGACGGCCGCCCTGCCCCCTGGTGGTGACCGTGAGCGCTGCAGCCGCTGCAGCCGCCACCGCCGCCGCTTCCTCGTCCTCCGACTCGCGGGGCTCCCGGCGCCTGCGGCCACAGAGGCCGGCCCCCCCGCTGAGATCCGTCAAACTCAACTCAAACTCCCCCAGAGGGATCTCCTGGGAGCCCCTCTCTCCGGGAGGGCGCTGCCAGCTGCAGCTGGCGCCCTCTCCGTCCCCATCCCCGTCCCCGACCCGGTCCCCGTCTCCTTGCAAGGGCAGCAGGGCGAAGGCGCTGAGGGACGAGCCCACAATGGAGCTGGCCGTGCTCTGCCGCCCCCAGCTCTCCGGGGGGCTGCACGGTGGGGGGCTGCTGCTGCTGGCTGCCGCGGCGGCGGCGGCTGCAGCCACGGCGGCTGCGGCCGCGGCGGCGGCCCGTCTGCGACCCGCCAGCACCGAGCGTTCCCGATAGATGCTGTACACCGCCTCGGCCAGGCTGGGGGGCTCCCGCTGGCAGCGGGGGGACGAAGCCAAGTCGGGCGGGGACACGGGGCCCCTGGCGCCGTCGCCCCCTCCCCCCAGCGCCGGGGAGTGCCAGGAGCCTTTGGCCAGCATCGCAGCCGCGCCGTAGGCATCTCCCGGGCTGCTGCCGCCGGGCTTGAGCTCTAGGCCCCGGGACTGCACGTAGCTGATGAAACCGTTAAGGGGGGATGCTGCTGGGGCGCCCGAGGTGGCGGCCGAAGAGGACGAGGCGGCCGCAGCCGCGGCCGCGGCGGCAGCGGCCAGGTCTTTGGCTCGGAGGCTGTGCACGTCGATGACGGTGGAATAGAGGTCCCGCAAGTTGATGATCTTGGTCTTCTTGTCCCTGTTCTCGTGGAGCACGGCGTTGGCGCAGATGAAGAGGAAGATGCCTATGCCCATGATGAGGGGCCCGAAGACTTTGAGCTTGTCAGAATGCAAGTAACCGGAGAAGAGTTGGAAGAGGAAACCTACAGAAGTGGAAGAAGAGGAAGAGGAGGAGGAGGAGGTGGAGGAAGAAGGGGCGGCCGCCCGGGTCGGGGGCGCGCTCTTAGTGGCAAAGATGGAGCTCGAGTTGGACTCTGTGCTGGCTAGACTGGGAGTCCCCGAGTGGTCCCTCGACGGGTGCTTGTTACTGCTGTTGCTGCTGCTGGCTCTGGCACTGCTGCTGGCGGTAGCCGGGGCCCGATGACCACTCCCCTCTGGGGACAGCTGCTTGGCGCCCTCCCGATGGGTCCCACTGGCTTTGGGCCAGTAGCCCACCACGGCCATGGCTATGCCTACTAGCAGTACCAGGATCCCGCAGAGGGCGATCAGGCCCGAGATGGAGCAGAGCTTCAACTTGCCCTTCACCACCACCACGTCGTTCTTGCGCTTCTTTTTGGCTTTCCTCTTACGCTTGGGTACCTGGCTCTGCGGGCGAAGAGGATCTTGCTTTCTAGCGGAGATCCTAAGGAGGCCCCCTGTGGCGATCATCGCGGGCCCCTGGACTGCGGGGCAGTTGCAGGGGGAAGGTGTGCCTAAGGTGGGGAGTTAGCTTCGACACCACCGCCTGCAGCAAAGAGAAAGACTGTCAGACAGCAGGGGTTGGAGCAGTAACGCTTCTAACTTGCAAAATCCTCCCGCCCCGACCCCCCCCCCCCCCCCACGGCCGTCCCAGCCCCCTTCACCAGAGAGTGACCTTAGTCTGGCATTGGGAGAGGGTTGACTAAAGGCACTAATATTAGAAAAGGATAAATCTATGTAGGAAAATCCACCACCAACTCCCATAGCCAAAGGTATCTCAGGTAGTAATCCTGCCTTACTCATTTTCAACAAATTAAGAACAAGCGCTGTGTTCCCAAAACTTGCCAAGGACTTTGCCAGCAGGAACCCTTCGTCAGGGCTAGGGAGACACAGAAGATCTGAGCCCTCCCAAGGACTTTCATCTGAAGGATCTGAGGAGCTTCTGAACCCCAACTGACTATTGACTTAAAATCCCTGGAACAAGAGCGAGGTTTATTTCATTAATTCAAATGGCTGGAATTTAAAGTGGATATACATCAGGAGTCATCAGGCCAAGAGTATTTACTTCAGACAGACAATTAATTGCTGGGGAAACAGCAAGGCTTACTTAGTTAGATATGTGGTATATCCAACTAAGTACATCCCTTTTAAAAGTTTTTCCCCCCACTCATTATTTTATCTACAAGGAAAAACAAGCATATCTTCCTCACAACCAACCCCCTCCCTTTGCAATGAAACATCTGGACAGTTGCCTCATCTGGAATATGTAGTTTTAGGTAATGGGTTATGTAACTGAGCCCTTCCTTCTCTCTGTCTCTCTCCCCCAAAAGGAGGTACCTTGGAGATAACAGTGTCAGGCCTTATTAGTGGATGAGAGTACTCCCCTGGACTTAAAGGGGAAAGATGTTTTGCTGTGTAAGGAAAATGACAATCCCCTCCCTTTTAAAAATGTCATTAGAAACAGCTATTCATCCCCTTATTACTGTGCCATCAACATTCATGATCCCAGGATTCAAAAGAGAGGGTGATTAGCTATGTAAGGAGCAGTCCACAGAAGAATGATGGTTTGTGTAATCAGCCATCCATATTGCTGATGAAGGATATTTTTCTCATCCTTTTTCCTTCATCCCCTCCCCCTCCCTCATTTCCCAAGGTTCAGGGGGTCATTTATAGAAAAAGAACACAACAGCAATCAATAGTCCACTCCTATAAAATACTATACAAAGTTCAATTATTTACTTCAAAGCTTTGTTAAGTAACCACATAGATGCACATTTGGGGTCATTGGTTCCTAGAAAATTGCACACCTGCTGGCCCTCCAGAGTGAATAATTTGTTGTTCAATGTGGTGTAGAGATGTTTTCATATAAAATGGGGAGGCTAGAATATATGATATTTTATGGAGCTGAGAAAGGGTTAAGACCTTTTGTATTTTATCCTGTTTAAGAAATAATTCTTTATTTTTAGAATGATTTAGTATTACAAATGTGTTACTGACATGGTAGAATTTTGCTCTTTTGCTCTTAATTCCCTCCATTATATCAATATCAATACCATCCTTTTCCAAAGGAAAGGAAAAGCAAGTAGGTGGTAATCAGACTTATAAAATGTTTGCAAATCAATGTCTCCTTGGTACTTAGTCGGTTTTCAATAAAAAGAAACATAAGGTAGGTTACAGAAGGGACTAGTAAGGGAATAGAAGACTTATCTTTAAGCCATTTACAGTATTGTTTTAGGAAGAGAGAGGTCAGAATCAATCCATGAGTTAAAAACAGGTTGCAGAACACTACTTAGCTTATTACAGGTACGTAGTTATTTGCTGTTTTGGTTTTTTTTTTAAAGTATACCTGTTACCTAGTTGTAACATATTGAGGACTATTTAAGTAACCTCCAGAGGATCTTTAATGTAGTAACCAGGAGATTAATGGAGCTTTTAAGATTTGGGGAATCAGATTTTTTAAGAGGAGCTACCCCAATTGGACACTGAAGGATGTATTTCTGGGATTGAAGAGGGGTAAACAAACATTTGGTTTACTAGAGGTTATCAGTGGGCAATAAGATATGGGAAGAAGGGATATGAATTTCTCTTCAACAAGATACCTTCAGCTCTGTGTTGGATGTATGAAGTGTAATAAAACAGATAACCACGGAATTTTTTAAAAAGCTCTGACAATTCTTTTAATTTTGTAGATTTTTTTTTTTTTTTGTATTGCAGTTTTTGCCGCACGGAGTGGATTCTTAGATGGGGGAGGGTGCTGGTAGAAGAAAAGAAGTGTCTAAAAATACAACTGCTTCCAAGTGAGACATTGAGCTTTTCCCCTCTTGATGGATTAGGTCCCACAGTGTGCTCTATGACTCGCTAGAGCTTAAGGTCTAAGACATTCACGTCTTACCGGAGATCCAACATAAGCTATCGCCCGGTTCTTAAATCATTACTTAACATTAGTGAGAAGTGAGCCGCCCCCCTCCCCCCGCCTCATTATCCCTACCCCCTCCGCGCGCTTCTTTTAATTGAGTCTTTATGTTTGAGTCACATGAGTGCAGCAGATGTTTTGTCCGCCTCTGGAAAGAAACAAGAGAACCGAATTTCTCCTAAGCATCCCCCTCTTTGTAGACACAACAAGGGAGCTGCCCTCCCCCAACGAGATGCCAGGGGAGGAAAGGGGTTCGAGGGGGAGGGGAGGATGGGGAGACGAGGGAGGCAAAGCTTTAGGGCTGAGAAGTGAACTACTTGTTCAAAATGGCAGCACTATAAGCAAACACCAGAGCCTCACTCACCGAGGAAGACTGGGGGAGTCTAAGGTTGCAGGAAGAGAGCTCCGACGACGACACAAAGGAACCATGGAGAAACTTTTCAGCCCGAGTAGACAGTTGCGCGAAGATGTAGCCTCCCCGCATCCCTCATCTCTCCGCGGCTCAGAATCCCGGGAGAGCCCGGGGGAGAGGTCGCCCCAATGATATTCTCAGACCCCTGCCGCGGAGCTTGTGGCAGGAGCCATGGCGAGGAGTTTCCAAGAAGTGTTATGCCCTCCCCATCCTTCATCCTTCCTCCCTTTCCCCCTTCTTCTCTTTCTCTTTCTCTTCCTTCTCTTCTCTCCTCTGCTCCCGGCCCCCTCGTTCTTTCTCTCTTTGCTCCTCTGGGTCCCTGCCTTCGCGGGCGGGACGCGGGCGGTGGTCTCAGGTCTTTGCCTGATCTTGGGTTTGCAGCCGCCGCCGCCGCCGCCGCTGCTGCGGGCTTGTGCCGCTCCGGCTCTGGCTCCCGGGAGTGGAGTTGAGCCCGCGGCGGCGGCGGCTGCTGCTGCTGCTGCTGCTGCTGCTGCCGCCGCTGCTGCTGCTGCCGCCGCTGCTGCTGCTGCTGCCGCCGCTGCCGCCGCCGCCGCTCTGCTGGCCGGACTCAGTGCTGTTGCTAAGATACCGGAGCCATGACACAGGGAAATTGCTGCAGGATGGCAATCATTACCCTTCCTAACTCTCCTCTTTAGGAGCGTGCCCATCCCCCCCTCATTACTAACCTCCCCTTCCACCCCCTTGCAGCACCCTTCCCTCCTCCCCTCCCACCCTTCCTCTTGTCTTCCTCAGTCCTGCTCCTCCTTCTCTTTCTCCTCCTCCTACCCCACTTCCTCTTCTGCCTGCTGCCGGGTCCCTCCAGTCGACCCCGAGAGCAACAAGGTGAGGAAGAGGAGAAAGAGGGGGAGGAGAGAGCTTGGCAGTTCTAGTGCCCTGTACAAGGTGGGGGGCTAGGGTGTGGAGGGGAGGCACCAAGGAAGAAGGAGGATGGGGAAAGAGAGAGCGGATGGAAAGGGGGTAAAACTGAATGGAGGGTGGCATGTTGGCATTGCCTACCCCAGTCTCCTAGCGTGGCAGAACCGCTTCCCTCCCTTGTTTGGGCGCTTTGCTCTTTTCCTACAAACTACCTGTCTGATCCGCAGGGCTGGAGAGGGTAAGCAGAAAGCCAAAGAAGATGCACCTAAGGGTCTCCCTCTGTCTCTGTCTCTGACTGTCTCTGTCTCTGTTTCTCTCTCCCCTCCTTTTTCTATCTCTTTCTCTGCTTGTAGGATCGACCCTGTGACACACACTTTCCCCCCTTTTCCCAACTGTGTTTGAGCTGTGGATGAACACGGTAAGTTTTTCTTAAACAAGCCCAAACCTCGGTCTCTGCAGAGCAGCAATCTTTTAGGTAAGCTTATCTGCCTCACTCTGAATTGAAGCCTCTGTCTGATGTTATCGCAGGGGTTCAGCGAAGCAGGGCATTATGACCCGCTTTTATCGAGAGGGCAGTGTCTCCCTCGGACGCAGGCTGCTGCTGTTCACCATAGCTTAGAACCGCCGCCGAGGAATCTCTTTGGGAGTCCCTCCTCCCCTGACCACCAGAGTGAAAATCATCAGATCATCGTAAACCAAAACAAAGAAACAAAAAACCTCTTCAATTTCCCACGATGGGGAGTTAGGGAAGGAGAAGATTTCAAACTCATTATGTCGTAAATGAGAGGTTTGTTTCCCAATTTGTTCCCTGTTCTGCAAGCAAACAGAAATAAAAGGGGAGATTCCATAGTGGCATTTCCCCCTCCCTCCATGAAGTGCGGAGAAAGTAAGAAAGATTTAAATTATGTAATGATGAAAATAAATTAAAAGGGGGAAAAATAAGGTACAGAGAAAGCAGCAGAGATGCAAGTAAAGCATCATGTCCAAGATTTGAAATCCATCTGAAATATATCATGTGTTTTGTTTAGGGTTCAATGGTAAAACACATACAAGTGGCTCTTACCTGCCATATTGGGGGCTTTACTCAAAAGAGATAAAAAGGGGTAGGTTAAAGAAAGGGGTGGAATAAAAAAAGATGCCATTTTTTACTGGTGCGTGGAGGGGGAAGGGGAAGTGGAAGATGAGGAAACAGTTCCTGAAGAGAGACTCTGCACCTGCCTTGTTGAAAGGTGGCCTTGGCCCTCTAGTCAAGCAGATTATGAAATTGGACTCTGATCAAATGGTGTTGTTTCCACCTCCTTCCACCTCAGCCTATTGTGGTGCAGGTTGTGAGACTGCCAGGAACTGTGGGATAATAAAATGAAGTTTCAGGTGTCCTAATTGGATTGGTTTTTCTTTTAAATAAAGAAATCACCCAGAGCTGCAACTACTCCAGGGCTGATTGTCATTTCCTGCAGATTTGGGTCTCTGAGATTTCAGATTTCTCAAATTCCAGTAATAGCCTGGCAGTGGCTGGTGCAAAGATTGGACCTGAATACTAACATACATTTCACAACTGGCTCTCTGAATAACTCTGAACAAGTCCTTTCCTTCATGGGTCTGTGTTTGCTCAGCTGTAAAAAGTAGGAAAGAATGTTGCTTTACTTCATTAGGGTATTAGGTGAATTAAGTAGTTAATAGTTTCAGATTGCTGCATAAATGTCCATTATCATCATTATAATATGTTCATTTGAAACTCATTTGAGGGATTTGGTTGGAGGGGAAAGAATTCTGTGTGGATAACAAACCCTGAAATATAACTAAGGATTTCTTAGGAAGATGACTGCAAGAACAATGAAGACTTATTATTCAAATGCGGGGTTGTTTTGGACTTTTCTGTTAAATCTGAGCATTAAGATACTTAGTAGTTTGCTTTGTTTTCAGTTCAGAAGTCAGAAGAAACCAAACATATAGTATCTGTTTCCATCTCAATAATGCAGCATCTGACCAGATGTCCCAGGACTCCAGAGTTGCAGAGTTTTTTTTTTTGTTTGTTTGTTTTTTGGTGAGGCAATTGGGGTTAAGTGACTTGACCACAGTCACACAGCTATTAAGTGTTATGTGTCTGAGGCTGGATTTGAACTCAGGTGGTCCTGACTCCAGGGCCAGTGCTTTATCCACTGCGCCACCTAGCTGCCCCAACTATATCTTCTTTTTGTGAAATGAACATTTCTTCTGTAGCGTGATAAAGACAAAATGTTGTGTTCAAGAAACACACCTAGCGGGGCAGCTAGGTGGCACAGTGGGTAGAGCACTGGCCCTATTTTTCATTGATATCACCAAGATTCAGAGTTCAGCTCTACACTGGCCATGGAATTGAAAACAAATGTTAAAACTAGGGGAATAATGAAGCTCTGGGGACAAAAAAAAATAGTAGAGGAGTGAAGGGATCCCTCGCTTAATTGAATTAAACTAACCTACAACCTCTCACTCCACTAATACTGGTTTTTTAAAAGAGAATCTTTATTTAATTTCTTCATTTTCATCATTTGTTCACAGCCCATTCACTGTGCCAAATTTTTTTTTCATTCATTTCATTTGGCAACCTAGCACAACTTATGTAAATAAATTCTTAGGTTTGCCTACTCATTATCCTAGAGTATTAAGAGGAGATATTAGTGACATGACAAAGCCTACTTTGCCCCTTCTGTGGATAATAATGGATTAATACCCTCCTAGAACCTTCAGGCACCCAAATCTTAGCTTACCTTCTCTTTTTTGGTTGAATTAGCTTTCGACAGCCTGGAGATGAAGAGTCTTTCCTAGAAAGTTACCAGCAATGTCTCAAGAGGGACATGGAAACTGGGTGTGTCTATTTACCCTCTTCTCTTATTTTCTACCTAGTCCTGAAACTTGTGATTTTTCAGAGGATCTCTGTTCCCCTTTAAAACCTGATATATCATAGAGTCTTGATGTTCAGCTACTTCCCCCCTAAATTTTGGGTAAGTGGACCAAAGCTCCAGGTTGAAGTTAGAGAACAGTCTTCACTCTGAATCCCAAGCTTCAGCTTTGGCAGAACCACATCCATAAAACCCATATTATCTGCTGGGGAGGGGAGGGATTTAGGTGAATTGCTTTGCTTGTGCGTATACTTAGGGACAATACTAGGGACCACATTGGTTGACTTAGCTCAGTTGGTGGAAGCATTCAGTCAGAAAAGCAGAGCTTGCTTCTTCTGTCTACTGTCTTACTCTAAATTCCTCAGTCAGATTTGGTAAATGGTGCTAGTCCCAACATCATCGAGTTCTAGTCTCCAAAAATTTCCTTCATCCCTTACTTCCCTCCATTCCTAACACTCTCTTCTCTCAAGCTTTCAAGTTCTTTTCTTTCCTCTTTCCTCCCAGCAGATGAACCTCCTCTTCTCACTATTTACTGAGAAATTTCAGGTGTTCAGACATGAACTTCCTCAACTCCTGTCCTCTGAGCATTACCTCCTCAATTCTGTTTCCTCTAGTGACAGCTAGGTGTTGCAATGGGTAAAGCACTAGGCCCGGAGTCAGGAAGACCTTAGTTCAAATCCAGCTCAACACTTTCTAGCATAGTTGTGTGACCCTAGGCAAGTCATTTATCCAGTTGCCTAAGTTTCCTCAATCATAAAGTGGGGATAGTAACAATACTAACGTCCCAGGGTAGTTGTGAGGATCAAATGAGATAAGATTTGTAAAGTGCTTAATACATAACAAACATTATATTAGTGCTTATTCCCTCCCCCCTGGGCCTCTACACCTTTGATTGTCCTTAACCTTACTATCCAGTCCCAGAAGAAGTGGCACTTCTCCTAATTGAGGTTAAAAGCACTTTCTATATGCCCCATCCCATTTCCTAGAATCCCATATTCCTTCATAAATTTGCTTAATTAAGCCTCCCCCCCTTTTTTTTGGCTAGGCAATGGGGTTAAGTGACTTGCCCAGGGTCACACAGCTAGTAAGTGTCAAGTGTCTGAGGCCAGATTTGAACTCAGGTCCTCCTGACTCCCAGGTCAGTGTTCTATCCACTGAGCCACTTAGCTGTCCCACCTCCCCTTTTTTGAAGGCGTGTATTTCCCCTTCATCTTTAGTAGCCTCCTTTCTGTGATTCCTTCCTCTTAGCCTGTGAAGATGCTAAAAAATCTCCTACCCTAAAAACAAAACAAAACAAAACAAAACTTGCCTTGATCCCACTACCCCTCAAGCTCTTTCCTACATTACTGCTTAAAAAAAAAGTAATCTACATTCTTTGGCTTCACCTCCTCCTCATCCCCTTGCAGCATCACTTCCTTACTCATCACTCTACTGGAAGAGCTCTC